CCCTTTGGGAACTCTTCTTGAGGAGCTGTGGTTAGCAGAGGAAGGAGAAGACAATAGACAAAATAAGTGCAGGACAGAGGCCACACTAGGGCCCTTTTGAGTAGTCCATCCAAAGTGCTGCAGGAGCTCAGAGTCAAGAGAGTTCATTCCAGCCACTGTTGCCTGAAGGTGTGTGAGTTAGTAGACCTCAGATGAGCGTTTGAGAGTTTGGATAAGTAAGGCATTTCAGGGTAAGGCAATGGAAGGAAACAAAGCACAGAGGCAGGAAAGGAGCTCAAACCTAGTCACTCCCAAGCTTGGTACCCTTTAGTGGCACAGGCTACACCAAGGCCCTGAAGATAAAGTCTAAGCTCCTGTACCAGCAAGAAGCTCAACAAATAAAGACTCTTGCTGTGCAAACCTGAGAACAGAGTTCAATCCTTCTAAGGATGCAAGAAGCTACCTAGTACCCCAAAGTTTTCTACACACACACACACACACACACACACACACACACACACACACACACACACACGCACACGCACGCGCACACACGCGCACACACACACACGCACGCACACACGCACACACACACACACCAAAGCAAATAGAAAAAAAACCATCCTCATAGCACAGTTTTTAATAAGCAGATCTCATCCCACACCCAGTCTAGCCTTCCTCCCTTACTTCCTTCTCCTATCATACTGCACCCTTGACCCCCAGCACACTCCCCTCCCCCTCTCCCACCACACTGCACCCTTGACCCCCAGGACTTTTCCCCCAGGGACTGGGATCTGGCTAGTGTGTGAAGCCAGTCACCACTGCCTCTATCTCCCTTTGCTGTCACTTAGCCTCAGACCAGCCTGGACACCGCCTCTGAGGATCTTGTATGAGAGCAGGCTCTGGTCCAGCAAGTGAGGGAAAGACTCCTGGATGGACACATGGAGATCTAGATCCTGCTGGTTCACAGGAAAGCCATGAAGCAGCAGCTCCTTCCTTGGGCCACATACCAGAATGACCCAAATAGCTAAACAAATGACAAACCCAGATTCCCCCTTGCCGTTAATATTGATTGAATTGCTTTGAGGTATAGAAAACTGGAGTTCTCCTTCAAGTTGAGTCACTACACTAGACATTCTTCCCTGATTTCCCACTTCTGCATTATGGCAGACTGCTATAAGGTCTATCCTGTCATGTACTGATTTACAGGTGCCTATTACCTGTGTCCTTCACTGACACACTGCACTATGTCTCATTTGGTTTTTTCCCTTTTTTTGTTTATTCATTCATTATCAGCTTTCTGTTATGTGCTGTATGTGCTAAAGATATGAACCAGTCCTGAAGCTGGAGAAGTGGTACACACTAGTGCTTGAAAGGTAGAGTCCAGAGGATCAGGAGTTCATGGTCAACTTTGGCTCAAAACAAGCAAACGAGGCCTGAACCTTAGGTTCAGAGGACTGCCTTTGTAGAAAATCTGCCAACTAGTACAATGACTGGCATGGTAGGCCCTTATCCCTTGAGCCAAGGGAACTGAAAGAAAGATGGTAGAAATGGGGAGAAGTTGTCACAAAAATGCTTTGAATACTGGGCATCTGGATCTGGCTTGAACCTGAGAAGGGTGTCCACTAATTCTAGATAATAAAATCAGACAACAGAGCATTTGGAAGGTGAGCCAGCCACAGGAGGGCAGAAAGGTGCTTAGCATCAGTGCCTACAACCAAGCAGAAAGTACGGACTGGAAACAGCAGGGAAATGGCCTGTGGAAGGATCTCCTATGGAGGACTGAGAGATGGAAAGTGACTGTGTGGTGCCATCTCTTACTTATCTTCAAAATATCTGACATGCCTTCTGTAGCTTCCTTTTGCACACTTCAGTGTAGCCAGAGTTTCTTTCCCTTCAGCCCCAAATAAACACACCAACGCTTATTATTAATTATGAACTGTTTGGCCAATGCCTCAGGCTTCTTATTGGCTAGTTCTCTCTTCATTAAATTACCCATTTCTATTAATCTATATATTTCTGCAAGGCCTTATCTTACCAGAGAAGGCTCCAGCATGTTACCCTTTCAGCAGCTACTTGGTGTCACTTTGTGGCTCCTCTCCCCAGAATTTTCCTTGTCTGGTAGCCCCACCTATACTTCCTGCCTGGGCTACTGGCCACTTAGTGTTTTATTCATCAACCAATAAAAGAAACATATATACAGAAGAACATCCCCATCACTTCAGCCCTTTATAGTCTCCTAAAACTTCTGTTTATTTGTATTTACATGCATATTTGTTTGCACATTTTATATGTTACGCCTCATAAATGCAAGTATTCTTGAGGCCAGAAGAGGGCATCAGAAACCCTAGAACTGAAGCTGCTTGATGTGGGTCCTGGCAACCAAACCTAAGTCTTCTGCAAGAGCAGCAAGTGTTCTTAACCACTGATGAGCCATCTATCAACCCACTTTGATATTCTTTAATATTAAATATATCCACATGGGCCTTCAAGATGGCTCAGTGGGTGAAAATGTTAGCCACCAGCATGGAAGAAGGAAAGACCTGCCTCCACAGCCTGCCTTCTGACCACCACAGGCAAGCCAGTCCTGCCTGCTCGCGCCCTCCCCCCCATCAAGCCATATAACTGTTACCCACATTCAGAGGGCCTAGTTTGGTACCATGCAGATTCCCCAGCTGCCAGTCCATAGTCCTCCGTGGGCTCCTACTACCTTGGGTCAGCTCTTTCTGTGGCTTTCCTATCATGCTCTTGACTCTCCTCTGTTCATATGATCCCTCCTCCCTCATTCTCTTCAACTGAAATCCAGGAGCTCAGCTCAGTGCTTGGCTGTGGGTCACTGCATCTGCTAGATGTAGGTTCTATGCTGACAATTAGACACCCTCTCCAGGATTGCTAGGAGTCTTAGCTGGGGTCACTCTGGTAGATTCCTGAGAATTTCTCTAGCACCAGGTTTCTCCCTAACCCCATAATGGACATTGAATATTTGTAGGCTGAAGTCCAACAATGGCTAGTTATGAATGGAAAGTCCAAGAATCTAGTAACTGCTCAGTCCCATGAGGCTGGGTGTCTCAGTTGGTCTCGGTTGGAATCCTGAAGAAGGAATGGATATGCTGACAGAAGCAAGGGCAAGCAGGCGAAGAACATCCCCTTCTTAGATTCATTTTTATGAGAGTAAAAGAGAGGGAGGGGGAGGAGGCGGAGGAGGGAGGGAGGAAGGGAGGGAAGGAGGGGGAGAGACAGAGAGAGAGAGAGAGAGAGAGAGAGAGAGAGAGAGAGAGAGAGAGAGAGAGAGAGAGAGAGAGATGCCAGAACAAGGTGTTAGATCTCCTAGAGCTAGAGTTACATTGTGGCTGCTAGGACCCTCAGGTTGCTGGAAGAGAGCAGCAAGTTCTTACCTGCTGGACCATCCCTCTAGCCCTTCACTTCAGTTTTTATATTTGAGAGTTTCTTTTTTTAATGGATGTATTCCTATGGAGTTTTAAGGTGTTTTTTCCATGTGTATTTGTAGAAACAGCATGCATTAGAAATCTGTTTTCAAGAGCATTGCCTAGAGTTTTCCTGATGGTAAAACTCTCAGCTCTGTGTCATTTCTTGAGCCACTTGGGTTCCTTCATTCCAGTTTCTGTTTCTGTTACACATTCAAAGGGACATTTTGTGTTGAACTTGGCATTTATTTAAATATACCGGAATTCATTTCTCCTCCACCCCTTTCTGGCTGTAACCTTGTTAGGAGTGAGCTAAAACAAACAAAGTGGTACTAAAGGTGACAACTGTTGCTGAGTAACTAATGTCCCTTTCATCTTAAAGCCTCTCTCCCTAGCATATTTACCACCCCTGTAAGTACCTAATTAAAGATCAAAGGCAGTTTATATTTCTAATTTCTGGCATGGTGATTTGGATTTTGCACCTATAGGTGTAGAGCATTGTCTTTCCACAGCAGGGTCTCTCACATTCCTGGTGGCTACTGGTGACTACTGCTTCCTAGCAGAAAAGGGTTTTCACCCTGGTATGCATTCAGCGTTTGCTTTTCTGCAAGGTGCTGAAGCCTCTTACAGAACAAGTTCATAAGTCACATTAGAAGGGGTTTGAAATGCTAATTCACAGCTGTCGACAGGTATGAATACCCGTCAGCCTGGAATGTCACACCTATTCAAAGGAACTGAGCATCCCTGAGTATAATCTCTTTTAAAACCAGAAATGTAAAACCTGGTTGCTTAGTGCTAAGAAAAAAGTTCCTTACATCTCATGGAACCATTGTTTCAGAAATAAATAAATAGTCCCAACCCTTTCCACAAGTATGTACCTATATATCCGTGGACAATTTTGGCGTATACACCCATGTGTGTATGCTTCATCTACATATGTGTAGATGAGATACACCCTGAGAGCCTTTACTGAAGCTGGTGTGTGTGTGTGTGTGTGTGTGTGTGTGTGTGTTGTGTAAAAATTTTGAGAGATCCTTCTCATTTACTAATAATATTTTATTTTTACAGCTTATTAAAAGTTTTTTCAATTGTAAAAATTATTACTGCAGCCAGGCCTGGTGGCACACATCTTTAGTTCGAGAACTGGGATGCTTTCCGTGAGCCTGGTGTACATAGCAAGTCCCAATGAGATTCTGTCTCAGATGAAAAGGGTCAGGTTGTGGAGTGATGGCTCAGCAATTAAGAGCACTTTTACTGCTCCTTCCTAGGACCTGGGTTCTATTCCCAGCACCCACATGACAGCTCACAGCCATCCATAGCTGTAGTTCCAGGGGACCCAGCACCCTCAACTGACCTCTGTGGGTACCAGGCATGAACATGATACACAGACATACATGCGGGGGGGGGGATACCCACTAATATTCATAAAATAAAAATAAGTAAATCTTTTTAAAACTGTAGAAAAATGGTAAATGAGAACTGAAAACACACTTCCTTCAACAGTAGCTGCTAAGATCTGGAGTTTGTCTTCCCAGTTGCTTCTCTATGCAGACGTGCACTACATGCACACAAATGGACTAGTTTTTCTTCCAGAGCTTGAGATTTTTCTTTATTTTCTAACAAAGTGATTGTATAACTTTAAACCTTGGGAAACGTGTGTCTAGTTACAGGATGTCCTACTTTGAAGCAAGAGTAATCTTTTCCAGCATTTATTATAAAACACATTTTAATTTGGAGTTGGAACCTTCTTCATCCATTGTAGTGGAGATGGACATCACCACTTTGGGCAACGGAACTGGTCCTCCAGCCCTCTGGGTCACGTCTCACACCTGCAGAGTTAAGCAACCACAAAAAAGAAATACTTGAGAAACAAACTGCATCTACACTGAACATATACAGATACTTCCCCCTTGGCATTGTTCCCTAAACAGGGCAGTATAAAGACCATTTTATTGCATTTCCATATTTGGTATTATAAGTCATCTAGCGGTGATCCGGTTCTGTGTTAGATCCCCAGCACACACTAAGAAATGAAGTATATCAGAGGATGAGCCTAGTGACATACAAACGCCCTGTTGTCTTATGTAAGGGATTTGAGCATCCATGGATTTTGAGGAGGGAGGTGGTGAGGATGACAACAGCAATATCCCTGGGACCCATGGATTGATTAGCTGTTTTGCTGCATCTCATTTTGATTTGGTGTAGCAGCTGAAAGCTTTTTGTGACAGGATGCATTTTTCCAGAGATAACCAGAAAATATCATCAGCTCCGTTGGGAAGTATGTTTTAGATTCTCCATGCTGCACTGATGGGGGGAGGGTTAACCGTGTTCGGTGCCCTCATGGAGCTTATGTTGCAATGGATGGAGGACAGTAAGCAGATAGAGAACTGCGTAACTATTGACAGCTGTGAGACGGTATGGACAGTCTGGACGCCCTTCTGATCTCCACACTTTACAAATGACTCAGCTCTGCGTTGCTGATTTGTCACATTAGTTATTATCAGAGTGCCATCGGGGATGGTTTGGATAATGTGAAAACATTTCAGTAATCACAGCAGGTAAATGACCTCCACCATTAACTCTGTTTGAATGCATTATCAAACCATCTTCTGGAGCTTATAAACTTGCAGTTCCTGCTCTCCAAGGAAAGCCACAGTTTTTGCTGCTTCCTTTGGTGGGGATGCTAAGTTAACCAAGTGCAGAACATTGATTCAGTGATTTGTCAGCTCTCTCCTCCTTAACTTGGTGGGATGCGCGGGGGGGGGGGTGCTCGCTACGTTAACCAAAGGAGGAACATTGATTTGATCATTTGTTGCTCTGTGCTCACTGTTCACTGGTGTTTTGGTTGAGGGGAAAATGATGCGCTCTCAGTTTCTCGCTGACACTTTGCCCAGTTCCCATTATAGAACAGAAAAAGCTGCTTAAGGCCTGGTTTGTTTACCTAATAAACTGGCTCTTGTATTGCCTGGGAAATGCTAAAATTTTTCTGTCAAGAAATCCTAGTAACAAGCAAACAGAGGTCCAGCAGTCAGATCTGAAGAAACAACAAAACGAAGGTCAGCTAATATCGCCATTCTTCTCCTTCCTGGTGGCCATGACAGCACCAGGGTTTATTTGAAGATCCCAGACTTCGAATCATTGCCTGCATTGTTAGCTGCCCAAGTATTTTAGGCTGTGCCAACAGTTTCAGATATTAATGTATTCTGGAGATCAGTGAATGAAGAATTCCTCTGCACTTTTTTCCTTTTAATTTTTTCCCCTCTCCATCCACTTTGTTTGCAGTGTCTTTGTCTGCCAGGCGTTGCTGGGCATTTCTAATGAGAGAGCAAAGAATTGTAGAAGGAAAAAGGCAAAGGGGGAGGGAGAGAGAAAACAGGCAAGAGAAGCAGGGCGTGTTTAGCACTTTAACAGTAAGGTGACATTTTTACAAGCCAGTCAGGTGCACAGGACTCTTGGAAAGCTCGAAGCCGCTGCTGCGCTGGCAATGCAAATTCCAAGCGGAAAACGCATTCTGGGCCATGTCTAACTCATTGATTAGCAGCTCGCAAGGAAAATGCACTTTTATTTCCTAACATCATTTTCCCTGCAGGACGCCCGGCCTGGGTGCTGCTTTGGTATTCAATCCAGATTCATTATTGCAGCCACCTCGCAACCCACCCTGGGCAGCTGCTAAAAGGGGGAAAAATTAAAGCAATTCATACTCGCGGTGACTTACTGCTGCAGAATAATTGGTTTCTGTTTGCAAAGAACATTATCACAGCAAAGCCCAGAAAACAGAAAGGCTTGTCTGCGAGAGGGTTTCTGGGGCTAGGTTGGAAGGCGCGACTGCAGGGGGAGGGAGGGATGTGAAAAATCACATTTCCAAGAAGGCAATTAGCTAATAATTAATTTTTTAGCATGCTCCCATGGCGGACGGACTTGTCCTTGTGTGATATATAGCCAGGGATGCCGGTTTTGTGGTACATCCTTTGCTTCCTCGTGGAAATGTTAATGAGACGAAAGCAGTTAAAGAGCTCTTTAGACAACGCAGTGCTGTGAGGAAGGCCGGAATGAAATTCAGACCCTCTGAGGGCTTCTCTGACACACAAGAAGTCCCTTTGTTTCCTGTTTTATAAACCAGAGGCATGTCTAAAATTGTGGGGAAAGTGAGAGGGGGCTGAGGAGTGGCGCCGGGGCCTGGCTTTCTATATTTAAAAAGAGGAAAAATTGTTTGCTAGTTATCCATGCCTGGGTTTGATAGGCAGTGTAGGGTGTTTTTGAAGTTCTGAGGGAAGGGTCTCTGAAGATGTAAGCGGGATCTGTCTTTCACTTAGACTTAATTAAGAAACTTGCTGGCTTTGTCTGTAGGGGGCCCATTACGCACAGGCTGCAGCCCCCTCTGAATAGGGGCTCAGCCTGGAAAGTGTATACAAGCCAGGCCGCCTTTGTGTCGTGTTGCCAAACTGGAGGCAGGAGCAAGTGGGAGCCTGGTCTGCCAGAGGCCAGCCTGTTGTTCATACGTGTGAACCATGTCCCAAACAGCGCTGCAGCAAGTGGGAACCTAGCCGTGCCAGCCTGTTGTTCATACGTGTGAACCGTGTCCCAAACAGTGCTGCAGCAAGTGGGCATCCATTCCTGGGGGACCTGGAACTAATGAACCTTTGGGAAAACCAAGGTAGTAAGCATACAGGGGTGGGGAGGAGAGTAAGTCTTATTCTCCAGAGTCCCTCTAAGTCCTGATGATGGGCCACAGTATCACCAGCCAGAGGTGTAAGCCAGAGGTGGCCAGAGCCTGGTTGTGGGTACAGACTCAGTCCCCCACCCCCACCACTTGGTCCTCCAGCCCAGGGCACAATTTTGCCTGGTCACTGTTCTCCTAACCCAGAGAATAATTTCCCCCTGGTGGGCTACTGTGGCCTACCCTATTTAGAACAAAGTTGCTGAATGCCAGAGAATAAAGAACAGTTGGGAGGCTGTGAACAGTGGTTAATCAGCTAATTCGCATTTCAAAAGGCTCTAATAAGAGGTGATAAATTCAAATAAAGCCCTGGGTATGACTACTTTATTCTGGAAAGCTTTCTCCCTTCTGTTTCTCGCCCTACCCATCCCTGCCTTTTGCTTTGAAGCTCCCAGGACCTCCCAGGGTATCCACACCTCTGCCCTCAGCCTCCTTCCGAGCTGGGACCTGCAAACCTTCACCATCTTCTTGGCTGTGGCCAGCTGCAGGCACCCCTGGGGTCTTCTACACTCCTTCAACCCAACCCCGGCCCTGTCCACCTGGGAGCCCCTGGCCTCCTCCTACTGCCCTGCTGATATTGCATGATCCAACCTTTTTCCTCACTGTCTATCCACCCGCTGCCTGATCCATGGCATCTGGCAACCCTCAGCCAATACCGTGCTGTTGGCATTTGCTTGCCAGCTATAGGACCCTATTGCTAGCTTAACATTAAGTGCTGCCCTGTGATTTGCAGCGAGAACCCAGTGCCATGTCTGTCTTGTTCTTCTCCCCATCCCCTACTCCAGCTTTTTGGCCCTGGTCAAAATGCCTGCTATTCAGAACCATATGGGTTGCATCTTGGGATTTCCAGTGAACTCTCATGATTGGGGCTTTCTATGCTTACAGGCCAGAGTACCCAGAGTCCCCCACCCAGTGACTAGAAGTCAGCCAGCCAGCCAAGTGGTATCATAGAAGTAAAGACATTATGCCAAAAGCCAAGGGATTTTGTTTCAGGCAGGAGTTCAGTCCAACTGGAAAATGAGCTTGTCTGGACCTTTACACACACACACTCTTGGCCAAATGTAAACTGTGGCTGCTGTAGTTAGTACACACTTGGAAAAGACAAAGCAATAATTCCCCAGAGCATCCTTGATCCAGCTATCCCAGAGGCAGACAGGCACATTCAGGATCCTGGTGGCTTTCTGCTTTTCTAGTCCCTGGTTTTCAAATCCCAGAACACCTCAGCTCTACCATGCTCTAGAAGTCCATTAGGGACTCAGCCACCATCTTAATTATATACCCTGGAAGAATGACATCTCATATTCTGCTCATGAGTGATGTGGAATTCCCGGAACTTCAGCCTTGACAATTTGATGACAGTTGGGGATATCCTTACAAGTCCCAAGATGGCCATTGACCCTAAAGTGTATTCCTGGGAGTTGGCCGGCCTCAAGGTTGTCACCCATAACACTCTGCTTAGCACACTCTCTAGTTATTAGCATCTTTGCTTAAATATTATTCCAATCACCCATCATTCTTGAAAGATCCTATCTTCAGAGAGTGTGTGGACTGACTGTCCTCAGGGGCCCTTATGTACAGAGATGTACACAAAGTCACGTCCCAGCTCCAGTAGCACACAGCCCCCAGGCCTGTCTCAGCTCCCAGAACCCATTTGCTGTCAATTGGCTTAGGAATCACTGAGTTATTAACTATAACTGAGTCCAGCATTGTGTCAGAAAAGCTACAAGCAATACAAACTTCTGGTCAGTTGACTATAAAAGGGTTTTATTGAAAGGATATTAAAGCTGGGTGTGTTGACTCACATATACAATGCTAGCACTTGGGAGGTTGAAACAGGAGGATTGCCCCAAGTTTGTACTATATGTGTTTTTAAAGAGGAAGACTGCTGAGTAGCTTGAAAAATAAATCATGGCCGGGCAGTGGTGGCGCATGCCTTTAATCCCAGCACTTGGGAGGCAGAGGCAGGTGGATCTCTGTGAGTTCGAGACCAGCCTGGTCTACAAGAGCTAGTTCCAGGACAGCCTCCAAAGCCACAGAGAAACCCTGTCTCGAAAAAGATGGATGGATGGATGGATAGATAGATAGATAGGTAGATAGATAGATAGATAAATAGACAGGTAGGTAGGTAGATACATAGATAGATCATGGAGTACGCTGGTTGTTCAAGGATAGGAAATGGAGAGGACTCAAAGATGACTGGAAACATGACCACAGAGGTGCCATAGAGCCATCTTATTATAGTTTGAATGTGAACCTTCTCCCACAGGGTCATGTTTAAACATTTGGACCCCTGCTTATGGTACTGTTTTGGAAGGCTATGGAACCTTTGGAAAGTGGAACCTTGCTGGAGGAAGGAATCACTGTGGTCAAGCCTTGAGGTTTTATAGGCTGGCCTTATTCCCTGCTCACCCTTGGCTTCTTCTTCCTCTAAGATGTGATGAGATGAAGAGTCCCAGGTGTACTCCTGTCAACATGGAGCCACCTGCTCCCACGCCTTTCCCTGTGTGGCAGATTGTAGCCTCTCAAACTGTAAGCCAATATAAACCCCTCCTCCTTGAAGTTGCATTTTTGTCAGGTATTTTGTCATGACTGCAGAAAAATAATGGATGCATACCTCCTTGTCACAGCTGCTGCCCTCCATTCAGGTCACTAACTAGCACAACTAGTGCTAGACTGCAGAGACTATGGGATGGGGGAAACGCCACTGAAATCTCTGTAGACGTGATTCAGTTACAAACTCTGAGGTCCGGGTTCTCGACTGTCTCTGCACTAGCTAGTGGGGAAGCAAGACCATGCTTGGCCCTTTTGGCTGCCCTGCTTCTTACCTGGACTTATACACAAACCACTTTACAAATGTGTGAAATGGCTCTGATACAGAGCAACTGAAAAGGGTTCAGCATGACTACTGTAGACTCTCAGCTCCTCTGGGAGTCATTTGCCATGCTTACATGGACATCTCCTTCCTGGGCCCGTCTTCATTGAACCACACAGTTCCATCTAGGACCCCATGCAAAGTAAAAATGCCCCTTGTTCAGAAATTATTAGGACAGTCAACATAGCATTAACGGATCCTTCTTCGTGGGAACCTGTGCGCCGTTAGAGGTCAGCACCCATGAGGCTAATCCTTGATCTAGGATCATATTGGTCCATAATTAGTGCACAGTTTCATATGCCCATATAAACAGGTTGCTGTATCAGAATTATATCATTATATTTCCTATTCATGACTTAGTTACAGTTATCCCTATGCTACAGTTAAAGCAACCGAGACCAAGTAGCAGTGGAGCTTTGATTCTAACCTAGCTTTCCAAACTCGCAAGTCCCCCTTTCTTTGCACACATTACACTGTACACCAGGAGCTTTTTTAGAGTGGAGAGGTCTGCCGTGCCCCTGGCATGCATATGACTCTCTCTGGGCATATGCATGTTGAGCTGTTAAGGACTCAGAAGGTAGATGCAAAGGGAACTGAAGCCTTACCTTGTCACTGTTAAGAACTAGTCAAGGGAAGCAGTGGTCATCAGCCATGCTCCGGTTCCCCAGCTAAAACAATGAAGCACACAGCACTTACTTTTACTGTCCAGGGTCTTGGTTTTTCTCTTCAGTTGAAATGTTTGGCTCCAGTATGCTATCCTTAGCACACACCCCATGCCCTTCTGCTCCTGCAGGACTCCTGCTCTCCCATTATGCCAGACCTCTTTCTGCCTCCCTGACTCTTAGCGCCCCATTCAAACACCTCCTTCTTCCATCTGTGAGGAAGGAAACATCCAGAATTCCTCTCTGCAGTCAGAGGTGAGCGTGCACTGGAGGGGCATGCTCTCTGCAACTCCCACCTCTCCTCCTTCTCCACCAGCCCCACCCTGCACCCCTGAGAGCCTACCTCAGAGCTGTCCTTAAAGCCCACTTTTACTAATCGCCTCTGCAGTGCTTGTCTCAGCTCCCTTCTCCCTGCCATTCTTAGCTTCCCTCCCTTTGATTGGACCTAATATGAAATTAAGGCAGATTTAGGCTCATTTATAATAGTTATTAAGTACAGGGTTATTTGATGTGTTTTTAATGTAAAAATCATAGCTCTCGAAGAAAGTATAGCTCTTTAAAAACCTGTAATGAATTTAATTGTTTTTTATTACTCTGTAGTCTTTAATTGATTTTTCCCCCCTCCGAGGTTTTTAACTTTTTTTTCCTCCCTGTTTTAAGCCCAGGGAAGGAGGAAATTTCCAAGGGTTATTGTTCATTAACTGTTAGAAGGGATAATTGATCTGTCAACTCAAAGGATTTATAAGGGTTTGGTTCAGAGACTTTAGGAAAGCAGTGCCATATGTTTAAATCCCTCCTCCAAAGCAAACATTTTGGAAGGGGCTTCCCTATGCAGTTTTTACAAGATAAAAATTAGCATGCCTCTGGTGAGGGGAAGATCTTGTTAATCTTCAGGAGCTATAGTGTTTATGCTTACACCTATAAGGGTTAGCTGTATATTTCTGCCACCAAAAGAACAGGAGCATAAATATTATAACGATTGTGGGTTTCCCTGGTGTCTTTTTTCTCCCCGTGAAAGGAATGGAACACAACTAACAGTTCTTCAAATGAGGTTTTTACTTTTTTTTTTTTTTTAAGCAAATGCACCCAAATTGGGTTTGGTTCACAAAGGCAGGGCTGACTCAGAGCTAACAGACCCATCATTAGCCATCCCTGCCCTCTCAAATGGCCTGTCCAATGCACTGCTCACAATATAGGACTAAGGCCGTAAACAAGGGATCCAAGAGAACTCTGGACAAGAAGCAGACAATGGAGTGGGATAAATTTCTTTAGCATAAATAGCAGTCTCCAAGGGTGACTGGTGTGAATGGATCCCTGCTGTGAGGGCCTCTGTGCCCACAGAGGAGATCTGTGGCTTTAAGAGCTCTGGTCCCACCCCCTGGGCTGGGGAAGTGCTCAGTCTCCCCTGCTGGGCTTGGTCCTCAGGCCCCCTGTGGGCCTCCTCTTTCCTTTCAAGCTGTGAGTCCTAAGGAACTCGGTGACAGCTCCTCTTTCATTCTGCTGTGCAAATCCTTGAGCTGTTCCTAGCGCTTTCAAAAGGGAAATATAAGACATTTACTTATTCTGTCCAACAGGGCTGTGGAAGTCCGGTAAGACCCAGGGATGTTCCGGCAGTGAGCCTGGGGGAGATTTTCCCTGAGATGACCCATAACCCATCATTTGTACTTGCCATGTCCTTTACCTCATGCCTATGAGGATGCCATCTTGGTTCTCCACTAGTGCCTGGTGCTGCTGGCTCACATCTGGGTCAAGAGAAGGAAAACAACATCCAATAGTATATGTCAATGTTTAGTCTTTTCATGGTCGTGAGCCCCGAAGTTCAGATTCCAGAACAGAATTTTACTTTTTAAAAATCTTTGAAAATAATTATATAACACATGAATGCCATTTTGAAGGGTGGGGGGAAACCAGCCAGTCCACTTTCCCATTCCTCCTTTTTTGTTTGTCTATTGAGGCGGTCTCACTGTGTACCCCTTGCTGGCCTGGAACTTGCTGTGTAGATGAGGTTGGCCTCATAACTCAGAGAGATCCCCCTGCTTCTGCCTCCCTAGTCCTGGGATTAAAGGCACATGGTGCCATCCTAGACAAGGGAGTGCTTCTTACCAGGGAATCATGCTATGTTATGGTAGATTGGAACATGGTATTCATCAAATGTTGCTGCGCGTTGGGAATTTATTTAGTAAACACAGAAATGTCAAAAAGGCCACGTTCTGCTAGAGTTTCATCCTTACAACACTTAACCTGGTCCCAAGTGACTTTAATTTATTTTGACTTTCACTACACATGCACACAGGCACACACGTGCACATACATGTGTGTACCCATCATGGCTTGAGTGTGGAGACCTGAGGACAACTTAAGGAAATTGGTTCTCTCCTTCGATCATGTAGGTCTTAGGGATTAAACTTAGGCTATCAGGCTTGTCAGCAAGTGTCTTAGCCCACTGAGCCATCTCGCTGGTTCACAGTTCTCTTTCCAGGGGCATGCAAATATTACTAGATGACAGTATTTGCTCTAGGGCCCCCTGCAGATACTCAGAGATGCAAATTTCATGTCCCTTTATAAGGTGGCATAGTATTGCATAAAACCTAAAACCTGTGTGCTTTAAATCATTTCTAAACTTATGCCACGTAATGTAGATACTGTGTAACAGTTGTATTGTGTCGTCAAAGGATACTGACAAGAAAAAAAATCCTGCTGAATGCATTTACAATTTTTCTTACAAATATTTTCAATCTTTGTACACCCACATGTTGAACCCTTGGATACAGAGGTCAGGCTGTGTGGTGTGCTTTCATTGGCAGTTCTCAGCTTCTAACATTACCTGTTGGTTGGCCAGTGTGGCACACGGGCTCCACTCATGCTTTCTGCATCCCTCCTCTCTTTCTACAGTAACACTTAAACTCTGCTTCCGGCTGCCTTTCCTCTTCCTCTCATCTCTGTGTGCTTCTCTCAGCTCTTGATGGGTTAGTATTCCATTTTGATCACAGTTAAGATTTTTGTACCATGAGCTGGGCGGTGGTGCACACCCTTAATCCTAGCATTTAGAAGGCAGAGGCAGGTGGATGTCTGTGAGTTCAAAGCCAGCCTGGTCTACAGAGTGAGTTCCAGGATAGCCAGGGTGGTTATCTTATCATGAAAAACTAATAATAATAATAATAATAATAATAATAATAATAATAATAACAACAACAATAATATTTTTGCACTATGTTGGTTCCAGAAGTTGGAAGCTAATTTAAGCACTTTCCATGGTGTGTATGTCTGTATGGATATCATACTCTGCAAAGTCAAGGAATGAGCTATGGTTGGTTTTATTTTGCCTGCCCTGTCCTAAATCTGTTCTCTCTTCTTGAAATAGTGTCATATTTTAACTTGCTAAAGGTGTGTGTGTGTGTGTGTGTGTATGTGTGTGTGTGTTCTTGTTTTGTAATGCTTGTGTTTTTTTTTCTTGGAAAAAAAATCATGTGCTTCCCCTCACCCCATGTCCTTTATGTTGCCCAGCTTCTAACTCATTATTTGGAAGTCTGAGCTAATGCTACAATTCGCTTGTTCTGGGTTGCTAGCCTTTCGTACCAAATACTTACATACTTCTTTCCATATTTTCCTAGTTTTCAGTTGTCTTTATTTAGTCCTGTAACTTTTCAGAACTGAGGATTTTTGTTTTGTTTTGTTTTTTCTAGAGACCTAAGTCTTCACTTGTGTTCTCTCTTCAGGATATGACTATGGAAAAATACCATTTTCTACTGAATCAATTATTCTAGTAGAATCATTGCTTTCGTACAGTATTTTTCCCATATATTTTCAACTAATTGGTTGCGGGACGCAGAGATGGTTCAGCAGTTCTTAAGAGCATATGTTGATCTATGAGGACCTGGACTGGATTACAGCACCCATGTGGTGGCTCCCAACCATCTATAATTTCACTTCCAAGGACTTTAACTCCCCCTTCTGACTTCTACTGGCACTAAGCATGCACCCATGCACATAGTACACATACATATGAAACACTCACAAATAAAATAAGTAAGTCCTAATAAAACGAATAATAACTAGTGATTGTTGTCTGGCGTGTGGTTTTTCAGTTTTCTGCCATTGATAGAATTATTTCTGCATCCCTAGAACTAGCCTTTCCTGTTTCTTTGTCTTTTATTTCATGCTGCTGACTTTGCTTGAGAGCTAGGTGTGTCTCTGAGCATGCTCCTGAAGAAGTAGAAAGGCTGACAGAGAGCTCTTTAACTGGACAGATCTGATTGACAGGTGAGCCTCCCATCCTAGGAGTCTCCTCTGTGAAGGACAGTGCTCAACACAACAGTTCCTGCCCACACTAGCAGCTCCAAGGCCCAGAGGCAACGGGCTCGGTTTCTTCAGAAACTGTGCAGCTCTTTGTGGAGAGGGAACTATGAGGGCCTGGTATCCATCGCATGGTGAGTGGGAGCGGCACTGTGACCTTCAGTGAATCGTGGTTTCACCCTCCCTCTTGCTGTCCACTGTCTGGAGCCCCTGGGATGGCGGGGCTTGGCAGGTTTGTGCTCCTGCCAGGCTCCTCCTCATGTGTGCTCCAGACCTCAAGCTTCTGACTTAGTGTTAGCAGTCAGCCTTCGCCTGTTTACCTTCAGGAAATGTGTGGAGTGTTTTCTCTCCCTGATTCCTCTTTGGCTTTCTTCACTGTTACAGAGCCATGGCCCTTTCATACCCTCTCTCTGTTTATCGCCTCTTAATATTTCCAGACTACATATGATCTAATGTCTGCTATTCCCGCTCATCCTGTAGGAATAGACAAATGCTATGGAAACTCAGACCACATCCTTTGCGTTTGAGATTAGGGAAAAAAACCATTTGTTTTCTCCTGCTGTAGTCTCCTCATTCTCAGTAATCCACTTCTGCCACCAGACATGTTTGGGGTTTCCCCAAGTATCAGTTCTCTGGTTGATACCAATTGGGCATCATGCAATTTAATTCACTTGTGGTAACATCCACCTGGAGTGAGAGTCACAGCCCATATAAAGGCTTAGTCCATAAGATATTTCACTTCTGTCACTGCTATGGCCTACATATCTGAGTGTGTCTATGCCCTCTTTGGCCCTGCCATCTCCAGCACTTCTGAGAGCTCAGCACCCACAACCTAGAGCTCTCCCAAACTTGTCCTTTGGATTTTTATGGAAGCTTCATTGTGTAAGCATAACTGATTAAAGCATTGCCCATGGATGGTCAACTCAATTTTCAACTTCTATTTCCTCCTGAAGTCATGAACATCCTGTCCCACTAACCAAGGTGCTCAACCCCTGGCAAGCATCTGCCATCCCAAGGACATCTAAGAGTACCCAGCTAGCAGTCATCATAAGCATGTAAACACCATCACTGTGGAGACTCCAAGGGGTTCAGGAACAAATGCCAAGAGTCTGGATGAAGACCCAATAGTATATTTCCTGCTATTAGTCACAGCAACACAGTTAGTAAGATGAAGTACAGGGCATTGTCCTTATGTCCCAGGTAACATCGAACCTTCAACAATAAGCATTTTCTGATTATGTTCTACAACAGGCATTACAGAGCAAATACAACAGCAAAAATATATTCTCAGTATCAGAATCTATTGGAAAGCTCATATATAAGTAGAGCAGGACTGAAAACAGTGAGTTTAGAGGTTTGGTATGTCTGTTAAGAATCCTCAAAGAGATTGGCTAGCCACCTGGCAATCCTTTTCCCACACAATCCTAGAAATCACCAAATGAGCCAGTGGAAACAGAAAATTTGTTTATTTGTCAAAGTTGATTTTCTGATTTCTAGGAAGGATACAGACATCATTTGAATATATGTCCTGCCTCAAAAAGCTTAGGTCAGTACAGGAGTTAATTCGGTGTAGAAATAATTTCTTATTGCAAGGCAAAAATCAGATCAGTGATGTATGTAGATGCTCAAAGGCCCATGCCTTATAGAGCTCATCCCTGTTTCCATCACTTCCCAAGTCATGATTCCCAGCAACTGGTTTGTTTGGCTCCCTCACTACTCACTCCAGCTCCTTCAGTTCCCCTCCTGAACTACAAAGGCTAGAAAATTGCAAGAAAGGTCCGTTTCTCTTGACTCTTTGTGAAAAGAATTCCACAGGTGAGTAGTGTGAGGTATGAGCTGTGCACACTGGGTCCGAGCTGGAGGCTGGCGATGGGGAGTATTCAGCTGTCTCTGGGCAGCGCAGGGAGGTCTCTGTCATCGCAGGCAGCTGGGGTGATGGGGGCTGTTGGGTTGGTCTGGCTCTGTCCTTCCTGATGTTTGTTCTCTAAACTCAGTTTTCTTGTTATACTGAGGGTTTTATTCCCAGCCCTTTGGGATTTCCATTTAGTAAGCTGGAATAGTGTCATCTTTAACCTAAAAATGAGCAAACAAAAATCCCTAACTGATGACTATTTTGCTTTCATTTACTTTATTTATTTAGTTAGTGATTCATATTTTGTGTGCATTGGTGTTTTGCCTGCATGTTCGTCTGTGTATCTGTGTGAGGATGGTGGATCCTGGAGTTACAGGCAGTTGTAAGCTGCCAGGAATTGAACCCGGGTGCTCTGGAAGAGCAGTGAGTGCTCTTAACCACTGAGCCATGTCTCAAACCCCATGTTTTGATTTTCTGACTCTGTCTTCCTTGAGGATTTTGACACTCATTCATAGCGAATGTTTTTTCCTGTTTTCCTACCACTGACCTGGACATGCACAGTTTGAGATGAAGTATCAGCCCAACACGGCGGCCGTAGTTTCTCCATC